GCACTACGTATGCAGCAGTGTATCATCATCTATGCATCAAGTGTTTAGAGCACCAATATGGTAGTGCATAGTGTGTGCGTAGAGATGATGATATGAGCAGGGGAAGGGGAAGGTTCACGGTAGTGCAATCAGTAGGCGAGTGCACGAGACCATTGGGGGCACTCAGTACTTTCGGCCTGCTGCTGATCGCCATCCTTATGCCACCCACGCAATGCTAGTCAATCATTGAACGAAAATTTAGTTACCAAAGCTCAACATGCAAACGTCAAGGGGTTGCTTAGGTGGTGACCAAATGTTTCTTGGTTGGAATGAACATGTATGCACTTGTGGAAACTGCTGGGAATTTGTGCTACAAATTTTCCTGGATTCAAAAATGAATATTTTAGTAGCGAGGATAGCTATGGTTCGGTTTTGTGAAGGATTTCGTCATCCAACCAACATCCTCCTCGATAGTCTTCTGCCAAGGTACGCGGAAGTCTTCTCATTTATTTTGACCTTGGTGCGAGGACGGTTAGGACTACAGCCCATTTCCTAACTACTAGGTCGTATCAGAAAGTACCCCAATGCGGTAGCAGAAGGAAGTACCAGCAATCCAACAGGCACGCCAGAACGGGGAACAGCGGCAGGTGCTGTAGCACGGTGCATCCGTCAGGCCAACCCAAACGTCGCGAGTCACGCACAGGTGACGTCCGCCGAGCACAGCCCCATCAGGAAAACTTGCGCGCGGCGAAAAACCACCGGCGGATGTCCAGCATTACTAGCGCACTCCAAGGTCCCCATCCCGCCCTCGCGCAACCATCCCCACATTCCGCCCTCGCGCAACCATCCCACATTCCGCCCTCGCGCAACCATCCCCACATTCCGCCCTCGCTCAACCATCCCCATGTTCCGCCCGCGCTCATATCCCCACATTCCGCCGTCGCCCCACATTGCCTGTTCCCCCCTCTCGCCACCCCAGCGCTCCCTATCTCCCCCACCCTCTTCGTTGTTGAGAATTGTCAAAATATATTGCGCTCCCCCTCGCCCTGTGTCCCCCCATCCGGTCCGGTCACCCGAGTTCCCTACGGCCCTATCTCAACGGGCTGGCGGGCAAAGCCCAGGTGGGCGCAGCGGGGAATGCGGATAGGCGCGTTAACGGCCAGGCCTAGTCGCGAGGGGCAGTCCGCGCTCGGCGCAAGGACTGACGTGCGCGGCTTGGCGTGAGTGAGGGCATGGCGGGCTGCGCGCGAGGGCTGCGCAGGATAAGCGCGAGGGCGTCTGACCGCTCACCGATGCTCAGACCGCTCCCCTCAACCATGCCCTTTACTCCCGTCCCACCCATCTGTTATGGTTTCGTGACATCTCAGAGTGAGCAATCCTGCCCCTCAAACACACTCTCCTTCCAACATCCGTGGTCCTTCCCTGGCCGGCCGTTCCACCCCTGCCAAGGCCATTCACCCCCTGGCCGCGTCTCATAGGGAGCAACGCAGCCCCTCACTCTCTCCGTCCCCACCTTGCAGCTTGAAGCTCAAACATCCAAAGCTGTTCTTCCCTGCGGAAAGAGTCACTCTTGGCGGAAAGAGACCCCGCTGGGTTTCTGCGGTGCCCTGCGTGAACCCCGCTGCCTTTGAACCCTGTCACCGCGCCTCCATGGCCCACACCCCCTTGCTCCTCCCAGGCAGCAGCCCCGAGTGTGCACCACTGTGCGTGGCAGCTGGTGCGCCAGTGTGCACCACTGTTCCACACTAGATCTCTCCCCTCTTGCCTGGTCGTTCTTGCGATGCTCAGACCGCTCGATGCCATTTTCTCCTTTAGGTCCCCACCCATCTGTTTAACTTTCGTGGCAGTTCAGAGTGAGCGGTTCCGCCCCTCACACCTTCCCTTCCCACATCTTCCAATTCTTCCGTGGCAGGCCATTCATCCCCTGGCAGGCCATTCATCCCCTGGCAGGCCATTCATCCCCTGGCAGGCCATTCATCCCCTGGCAGGCCATTCATCGCCTGGCTGGCCATTCATTCCCTGGCAGGCCATTCATCGCCTGGCAGGCCATTCATCCCCTGGCAGGCCATTCATCCCCTGGCAGGCCATTCATCCCTTGGCAGGCCATTCATCCCCTGGCAGGCCATTCATCCCCTGGCAGGCCATTCATCCCTGGCAGGCCATTCATCCCCTGGCAGGCCATTCATCCCCTGGCAGGCCATTCATCCCCTGGCAGGCCATTCATCCCCTGGCAGGCCATTCATCCCCTGGCAGGCCATTCATCCCCTGGCAGGCCATTCATCCATCGCAAAAATTCAGTGTCCGAAAAGCATTTGCGCAGTGTAGTTGCGAACACCTTTCAGGTGGTTTCCAAATTGGTGGGTCCAAACACTTCGCGGTGTAAGTTGGAAAGACCTCGCAGATGGTTTGTCAAACACCACTCAAATGGTTTTGTCAAACGCCACGCAGATGGTTTGCCGACACCGCGCTGATGTTATTTGGTCGTACGCGATAACACCTCCACGTCACCATGCGGTCATGCTGGAAGAGAACTTTTGTACTGTGCACGAAGACCATTACAAGTTTGTTCGCGTCACGCTTACATCTATTCATTGTGTTTGAGGCGTGTTGTTGTCCTTTTTTTGGTACATTCTATATCCGTTACTGCCACATCCGCTAGTACTCCATTGCCACAGATATTAGGCTCATTAATTGGTATAGATGGCCAGTAGAAGAAACACATCAGTGTCACAAGAAAACACATCAGTGACACAAAATCTCAGGGTTTAGACCTCTACCCGCATCCAAGCTGTGATCGCCCTACCAACCGCATCCGGACAAAAGGACCACTACCCTGGAAGTAAATCGGAAACGACCCGTACGATGGCATCAACCCCCTCCTTCCTCGTTGAGAGAGCACATACTGCTGCTGCAAGCCCCCACCTACTCCCACCGCTGCCGCTGCAGCTATGATAAACCTAGCTAACCACCAAGGTATGAGTCTGGCCCTGCTGCTGCTTGTGGTTCGTTCATCCCACAACCCCTCCTCCCCCCCCCCCCCCCACACCACAGGCTGCTGCTGAGACCCCTCCCTCGCTGCTGCCACCTATGCCTCATTCTCCATATCCCCTCTCCCCCCTCCCCCCAAGGCTGCTGCTGAGACCCCTGCCTTGCTGCTGCCACCTGTGCCTCATTCCCCAAATCCCCTCTCCCCCCACCCGAAGCTGCTGCTGAGACCCCTCGCTTGCTGCTGCCACCTGTGCCTCATTCCCCGAATCCCTCCCCCCACCCTAGGCTGCGGCTGAGACCCCTGCCTTGCTGCTGCCACCTGTGCCTCATTCCCCGAATCCCCTCTCCCCCACCACAGGCTGCTGCTGAGACCCCTCCCTTGCTGCTGCCACCTGTGCCTCATCCCCCAGTCCCCTATCCCCCCCCTCCCCAAGCTGATGCTCATATCCATTCCTCGCGCCCGCTGTTGCCTCAACCCTTTAACTCCCCCCCCCCACCACAGCCTGATGCCGAACCCACTCATGCGCTGCTGCCGGTGCCTCATATCACAAATGCTCCCAACCACAACTTCCAGTTCTTGCCGCTGCTGTGAGCGGCTTTATCAATACCCACTATAGTGTGATACCCAAATGTCAAGGCCACTCACATCCCTCAAAAGGAACCCGCCCTCGAGCGCCCCACCCCAACCTGCTGGTCCTGAAAGCCCCGCACACCACCCGCCCAGCCCACCTGTTTCACATCATTTCGCTGCCAGCACCCCACCCCTCAAACGACGCTGCCACATCATGCATCTGCAAACACCCCATGGTTATGAACCCAGCACACGCCAGTACTGGCGCTTGCAATAAGCCCCTCCCATTGTGGGATGGCTGCCCCTTCAGAATGATGCTGACAGACCCTTCCCTCCAGAGCCCACGCCAATACTTGGCTCCACTTCCGTCCCAGTTGTATCCGTCCCCTGCCCTGAACGGTGTGGTGATGCCACCCTGCACATACCTGCCTCACCCCTGCAAAAGGACCCTTAATCCTTAGCCTCTCCCTCTCCACCTTTGGGCGCCTTCCCCTTGCCCTCCCTCCCTGGTTCCTGCCACTCGTCCTTGAAGCCACTCTCATGGACGTAAAGTCCATACTCTCCCCATTTCCACCCCCGCATGTCCTTGCTGTACTCCTTGGGGTAGTTGCTGAAGTGGTCAATGACCACCTGTCGCACCCTCTTGTGAAGGTCCGTTATCCAGGCCTTGTTCTTGGGGTGTGAGTTAGAGAGGCCCATCGTGGTGTGCCTGCGGCGGGTCAGCCCATAGTCGACCTGGGGAAGAGGGTGGCCGAGGGGGTTTGTAAAAGGGTCAGGGAGGTGGGGGACGGGAATGGGGTTGCATGAGCCGAGCACAATCGGGAGGATAGTAGAGCCCAAGCCACGGCGTCCTTTAAGGCGCGCTCCCCGCCACTTACCACCATGATAATCCAGGCAATGTGATACGCCTTCAGACAGAGCTTCCCCGCTACAGCCCACTGCTGAAACGCATCGAACGCCGCCTGAAAGAAGATCTTGTTGGCAAAAGGCTGCCCGGAGTGCACCCCTGGGGGTGGCTTCGCCGAGCCCCAGGTGCTCACCAACTGCCCAAACCTCCTTCCTGTTGGGGGTAACGGCAGCACAGATGGAGGTGCATGATGCTCAAATGGTGTGAGGATATGGGGAGTGAACACGAGGTATTAACTTCAATGACATGCGCCCTACTAAACAACTGTGACCGCGCAGCTACATGAGTACTTACGAGGCTTGAAGTCATGCCAGAGGGCCATCTTGTCATCAAGGTCCACATGGATCTTGGAGCCCCTCGCCCACTTGACCTTCACCCCTAGCTCCGTCAACACCCGCCTCTTGATCAGGAACCCCGCTCGTTCTTCCACTGCGTCCATACACGCTTGAACTTATCGTTGTAGTTGTTGTCGGTCATTGCCTCCTGAACAGCCACGAAAGACACGTCGTAGCCCTCCATCACCAAAACCGTGTGAAGGTCCACCATGCGGAGGTAGAAGGTCGTGTAGAAGTCAATGCCCGCATCAGGCGCATCGATGCACATCCGGTCGCGCGAGGTTTCGTAATGGATCTGTGGACGGATGGGCGTCGGGGGGGGGGGGGGGAATGGGGGGGGAGAGAGGGCGGGGACAGACAACCAGAGGCATGGGGAGACGGAGGGGAAATGGCAGCAAAGCAGATGCCAAAAAGCAGGTGAGATGTGGAGAGAACTTGTGTGCCACACCAGGAATGAGAGAAGCTATGGGTATGGGTGGGAGGGAGGGGAAGAAACATGCAAAGGATGGAGGGAGAAGTACTCCTTGTTGCCAGAGGCAGAGAACCTGTGGGAAGGGGCAGGAGGGAGAGAGTAGGCGGGCAAGGGCAGCGACATGAGGGAGAGATCTCGAGGTCAATGAAAGGATGGAGAGAACGTGTGGATAGGGGCACGAGGAACAGGGTAGGCTGGCAGGGGCATCCAGGGTAACGACATGAGCGAGCAAACCTGCGGACAGAGGGCAGGAGGGAGAGAACATGTGGAGAAGGGCAAGAGGGAGAGAACCTGTCTGTAAGGGCAGGAAGGAGAGGGTGGGCGGGCAAGGGCACACAGGGCAAGGTCATGAGGTGGACAACCACCGGCCAATGGCATGTGAGTGATCTGTGGGCAAGGGCAGGATGGACAGGGTAGGCAGGCAAAGGCAATGAAGGCATCGACATCAGGGGGAGAACCTGTGGGCAGAATGGGGGTGAGACAGAGAACCTGTGGGCAACAGCAGGGGGGAGAGGGTCGGTGGCCAAGAGCATACATGGCATTCCCATGAGGGAGATATCTCACGGTAAGGGCAGGAGGGAGAGAACCTGTGGGCGGGGGCAGGGGGGAGAGGGTAAGGGGGGAAAGGACATACAGGGCAAGCTCACGAGGAGGAGAACTTGGGGCCATGCGCTGGATGGAGAGAACCTGTGGACAAGGGCAGGAGGGAGAGGGTCGCACGGGCCTGAGGATGACGAGATCCAACGCAAAGGAAATTGTCACCAGATTCTGTCAGGCCAGCCGAGCGGTTGTAAGTGGGGCACGTACAAGCAATGGACACCAAGTCGACATGCAAGTCTTGCCTTGCAAGGAAGAGCGATTCATTGATGACTCACCCCAATCTTCTTCAGCGAGGGCATGCCCTTCTTCCGTTGCACCACTGCCATCCCCGTGCTCTCGCCCACCAGATCCGTGCCGGTATCGGGGCCGCTGGATGCGGAAGCGAGTCGCGGAAGGCCTCGATCCCGCTCTCCCTTAAACTCCTGGATCTTCCCTATGGCCTCCCTCAACGCCCGCCACAGCAGTTGTGGTGTCACGTAGGTCGGCATCTCTTCTGCATCCGCAATGTCTTCCCAGGAGAAGCGCCCCCCCTTGGAGTCCTCACCCTCAGGCCGCCGACGCTTCCCGTCATGCCCGCCAGCGCCTTCATACTCGGCCGCAGCGCGTTTGCGCTGAGAACCTGTGGTGGCATGCTGATGTGTCTGATGGTTCCCCTCAGGCCCATACTCCCCCGTGGCGCATGCCCACATCCCACCAGCAGCACGGCCATCATCACTTTGCTGCTTCCGGCGTTCCAATCCAGCATGACCCGCCGCGCGCCCACGTGTGTCCGCCACACTGATACGCAACTCGCTGCCACTCTGAGCATTGTTCCCGCCACGCCACGGGCGACGCTCGTTCGCAGCTTCGCGAACCCTGGGTGGGTTCTTCTCCGACGCCTCCTCATCGTTGTCCTCCCCTCCGTAACCTGAGTCCGCCTTCTTGGATCCCCTCGGGTACTTGTCCAGTGCATCCTTTCCGCTCTTGTTAGGCTTCCACTGGGCAACCACCTCCTCCTCATCACTGGATGAGGCCGCCTTTGCGTACACGTTGCTCCGGTCGCCGCCGCGTTGACGCTTCTTGTGGCAGGCTCGAGCTCCCCCGCGGACTCACTCTCTGAGTCGCTTTGCTCATTCCCGTAGGCGTCGTCATCATCCTTCGACTTCCATCCCTTTTGCTTGCCCCTGGATGCCCGATCCTTGGAGCTGTTGGTGCGGCGTCGGTCCTCTAACCCCCCTCGCTGCCGCTTCTTCTCCCACCCGTGGTTGCCACGTCCGCTGGTCTTACCGCGCCTGCGACGTCGAGAGCCGCCGCGCCTCCCTTGATGACGTTTACCATGGCTGTCATCGCAGGATTTTCTCTCCCAGTCTGCGGACTCGCTCTCACACTCCTCGTCATCATAGTTCTCCTCGCTGCCGGAACTGCTGCCGGACTCCGTGCTCTCCTCATCGGAATCGTCGTCAGATACCTCCTCCTTGTGCTCTTTCTTGGGGCGGAGGCCTCCGCGATTCTTAGGGGTTGGCGTCCTCGGCTTCAATACAGCACCGCGCTGATGAGCCGCCTTCTTGCCCTCGCCGCCACCGTCTGGCGCATGATCCGCGCCATCCGCGGAGCCCCAAGGTTGCACTGCAGGCATGTCATTGCCTTTTCCTGCTTCCGTGGTCCGAGGGGGGGGACACGCCACCAGCCATAGGTACCGAAGTATCCACATGCATCTCCACTGTGCCTCCGTCCACTCCCTTTCTGGCGGGAACCATTGCCCACGGGCCGTCCGCCCCTTCAGCAGGCGTGTCACGCCCGTCATATGCCACCTCACACCCGCCCGACTCCTTATTGTTTTCCACCTCTGTAGCCGTCTTCATCTCGCCCGCCTCATCCTTCCCGCAAGCACTCTTCTCGGAAGTGACCCACACCCATCTTTCTGCCCCGCCATCTCCATCTTCCCTTCCGCGGTGCCGAGCTTCCCGCGCAAACTCGTGTCCTTCGCCGCCTCCTTCCGATCTACCTCTCCCTCTGCCACAGATTGCTTCGGTCCCTTTTTCTTCTCCTTGCCGTTAGCCTTCTTGTTCGTCGAGACCGCGCGCCGCTTCGCACCTGCCAACAAATGGAACGCTCGACATGGCGGTTAGGCCATGAGTAAGTACTCCCCATGTGCAACCACATACAACCAAGCGTGATCAGGGGTGAAGAAAGCTCACCCCTCTCAACAGCCTCGGGGTCGAGCTCATGAATGCTCTTCTTCTTGGGTGGCTTTCGTTTTTTGGCGACCGCAATTTCTCTGGAACGTCATCGTATGGTGCGCCATCCTCCCCATCGTCGCTCTCGTCGTCACTGCTATAATCGCTACCATCTCCCTTCTTGCAGCCCCTGACAGAACATGGATGCCGTTTCCGGTACTCAAGGAGGGCCTCCTTCGTCTCGCTAGGCGTCACCTTGCGACCCTGGTGCTCCGCAGGACCATCCTCATCTCCCTCAATAACATAGGGGCCGTTCAGCTTGACGCTATTCCTGCGCTCTCTTTCTCCGCGCCTGAGGGTTTCGTTGGCCATTTTGGAGCAGGTGCAAGCCCTACAGCTAGACTGGGTGAAATGCTAATGGAAGGGATAGCACGAAATGGGCTACAAAAGAGTGGAGTGGATGTGGTACACAATCAGGAGTGGGTGGAGCAGCCAACGAGGGGGTGGAGATGATGGATCGGCCTGTGAGGCAACAGGACGAACCAACGGGGGAGGTTTGGTTGGGAGAGGAACTTCAATACAGTCAACCATCCGATAACGCCGTGATATGCGGGGAGGAGCAGTTTGCACGGCCAAGATTCATCGACCAGTCGACTTCTGCCTGGCTGTGTCAATCAACCTATCCCTCCTCGGGATTGTTACAAGGCTCACACCAAACCTCGAACCTGCTGCGTGCGCATCTGCCCAGCCATACGATGCAGAGAGCCTGCCTAAAGGCTTTTTTTAGGGCAGGCTACAATTTACGATGCTCGTGTTCACGTATAACCCAGCACGCTGTGCTTTCGTTCCAGCTGCAACATGCCCATCCCCCTATTGTTACTGAACTCCGTCGATGTTTATCGAGCAGAGGCGACCATTTGTTCAACATCCTAAACTTTGGGTGACGGGCCACTCTCACAAAAGTGGACTGCCAGCCTGGCATCGCAAAATAACAGGGGTGGTAGGTTCGGCCAGACCAGGCGAGACTTAGCCTACAAGGACAGATTGCACGTACACTCTCACCTGTTGTTGGCTTTGTACTGATAGAAAATACAAAGTTGAATTAATGGCCTCTTTCTGTTGAACCATTTTTACACCCGTGTTCGCTGCATTTATTAAATTGGGGTTTGATTTATGACATTTCCATTCATTTTAACATATTCCAGTGGTAAACATAATTGCAAGTTTCGCACATACCGTATTCTCCCTGATACAGTACCTGCCGGAATTAAGCTCCATGGGTGGCTTGAACGGGTATGGGTGTTTAATTAGACTGGATCCAGTTACCACCCTACTTTTGGGGTTGAAATCAATTGAACACCCTCCCCCGAAACGGGCCACTACATTCCAGTGAATCTTCACTAAACAATCAGGAATTAGAGGTTAGCTAAACAACCTAAGCCTGCTTGGATGTCCTAGAGCTATATAAGGGGACCACAATACAAGCTACCACTACTCTAGCTCATGCTGCTACTGCCTCTGCCACGTGCTCTAGTCGTCCTCGTCATCATCTTCATCGTCGCCAGCATGCCACTCCTCAACATCACTCCCATCTGCCAGATCAGCCCACCAGTGGCTGTTATCATCCTCTTCAGCAATGCCTTCAGCCGGCCACTCCACACTGTCTTCAGCTCGTTGTGCTTTTGCTTCTGTCTCTGCCTCTGCTGTAGAGAGGTCGGCATCATCTGCTACTGCCGCTCTTGCTGGCCGCTTCATCCATGTCGCCATCGGCTTCTGCTGCCGCCGTGGCATCATGCTCCTCGTCGTCGGCTAAGTCCTCGTCGACGTCGATCGTGCGGTCATACAGAGGGTTGACATAATCGCTCTCACCCCCTTGAACATGGACGTCGTCCAAGAGTTCCACGCCCGGCTTCTCGCAGAGGTGACGGAGAGCCAAGTTGTCCCCGGAGCCATCCAACGCGTTCGAGATCCCACAGGTGTTGAACGAATTCCGTATGAGCTGAGTCTGTGGCGGTGTTGTCGCCCTCGCTAGACGTGCGACTTGGGCTCCGAGAGGGCGACGATACTGTCGGTCGGGATGGATGGTGGAAGAATGCCTGCTGACCGTAAGGGCCTCTCTGAGATAGCACACGCAACATGCCTGTGCCATACGCCATGGCGGGAGCCTCTAACAGAAACCGAGTGGGGTGCATGAGACAGCCCTGTCAGGGGCTGTCTTGTAGGCATTCTGCTGCTGAATGGCGAAATGAGGCAAAAAGGTCAGGTAGACCCACTTCAAGAATGGGATGGAGGGGAAGGAAGGGACGTGCGTGACTCCTCGTCCCTATCGATCACGAACAGCCCCTTCACGAGCATCCAGCGTACGATTTTGTGCAATGGACGGTCGTGGGTGGGCCCTGAATGGAATCTCCCCTTGGATGTCGTCAAGCAACGCTGTGATGGCACAGCGCTGCATGGAAGCAGCTAGGATGAGGCTTGCGGCACGCCTTCATTGGCTGATTTGCCAGCATTTCCGTGACTCAGCTGGTTTAGTCAACGACGTGGCTTGTATATGGACCACATCGTCA